TTGATGAATCTGTTACAGAATCTTCCAAGCGTTATGGGTTCAAAGACACTTTATGAGAAAATATTCACCTGAGAGTTTTGGATAAACCAGGAGGGTTTTTATTTAAAGACAGTACATGAGGTAGTCAGTGCCTGAAAGGAAGAATTTTAACTTGCTTCTGGGAGGGAAGCTACAAGAAGGTTTTTAAGGGCTAAGTGTTTTTGGTGAGACAGTGGGGGAACTATTATAGTGTGTTCTGGGTTGTAGTGGACCAGCACATGTATGAATGGGTTACATTTTAGCTGCACACATGAGACGTTTGGTCTCCCAAATCTAAGGAATTATAAGGCAATTATTGTGGGATCCCTAGGCCCCTTGTTCTCAGAGATAATAATCTTGGTGGCTAGAGTTCCTCTTTGTCAGCTGGTTGTAGGGTCACACAGGGGGCCTTTCACCAACCCCAAAATTCCTGTATAGAGACCATACTGGAAAGCCAGTATTTTCTGAAAGCAGTTGGCTTATATTAGATATAATGTGCTTTGCACCCTACATACCTGCCCTACCTTATATTTGACTCTAATAAATATGGGGTTACCTTTGGATGGGGGCTGCTCATTACATCTGGTGAAGCCCCTCTAAGACTCTTACTGTTCCACATGGACTTTGAGAAAACGTTCCCACATCCTGAGCTTTTTCTTCCAGTGTTGCTGCCCCAAGACATGACAAATTATTAGTCAATATCTAATGCTTTCTGTTCTGTCTTGTATAGTGCTAATTGCTAAGTTCTTTGAATGGGATATAATGGCACAGCCTGCCAATCAGTGATTCAATGGACCTGTTCAAGTAGGACATGGAGTCACACAGCCCAATATCTAATTCTGCTGTTCCAACAGGATGGTTGACAATTCACATCCTACTTGCTTGATATTTCTAGGCTTTTTCAAAATCGGTATTTCTCTTTAAAAACTCTCAGTGACGGCCCTCCCTGGTGGCGCAGCGGGTTAAAGCACAGCACTGAGAATCTGAAGCCACTTCCGCATAAGTTCGCTTCCCGCCTGCCGCCTGCCCAGGAGGAGACCACATGGCGAGCCAGACCTCTCCTGACCCGCCCGCTGCTTCCCTCAGCAGTGTACTTTGTCGATCTGCCTGTTCTGTTCCCCACTCTGTCTCTGGTGAAGCCTCTCACCGCCCCTGAGCATCTGGCCTGTGCCCCAGTTCTGTATGCACAAATAAATAAATAAATCTTTAAAAAAAAAAAAAAAACTCTCAGTGACATAGTGTTGGGGGGAAACAGTGTCTTGAAAGAACTCTACAAATGTTTATGGACTCATCCCATAGAGATCTAAGGCCAAAGAGATCTAAGGCAACAGGGACTAAAGTTGCATAATGTCATCACGACTACAAGGAGGATGCTGAGAACAAAGGTGGAGTTAAGCAGCCAGGTTTGATATATCACCAGATATGTGGGGCCTTGGGGTTTTTGGCTTTTCTCTAACCCTCAGTGTAATATTGGGGCCCCAGCTCAGAGGAACTGGTAGGATGAGTTCACCAATTTATCTCTCTGCTCCATGTACCTTCTCCAGGTCTACTTCTGGCTCTACATCCTTCTTCCTTCCTTTTCAGTCCCTTCTGCTTTTTCCTTGCTAAACCCCACCCTCCCTTGGGTGGGGCAGAGAACCTGGTACCTTCCCTTTTTCTGGGCACCGCACTATTGCAATAGGTCTATTATTATTACATTTATTAACATATAAGGATATCATAAAATAGATCTACTGAACTCATTAACTAGAATCCTCCTTAATAGAAAAAAGATATGGCTTCATTAAACAAAGAAATAGGCCAAGCAACAATTTATGCTATCATCACTATCATTTAATATAAATTTGGAGAAACAAATCATTGCACCTAAGAGATATAAGAAAGAATAACTAGAAGGATTATGAAAAAGAAATATAATTGAGGAGTGCTAAACTTACTAAAAAGTAAAATGTGTAATAAAGATATATTAATTAAAGCCAGACCCAAATAGCATATTTAGGCACAATATAAAATCTGCAATATGATTCATTTGCATAAGCATATGTAATATATTTTTTCTAGTGAACATAATGTAATGTATATAGATATTGATGTATAGTGATGATCACTTGAAATTTACATAATGTTACAATGTAAAAAATCTGGCAGTTAATTTGCAGAAAAAATATATAAATGTTCTAAGGTAAACATGGATTATATCAGATAATTGAAAAAGAATATTTCTGAACTTTAACTGTAAAGTGTATGAAGAAAAAAATTCATAATAGTCTTTATACAAAATATTGTTCAACTATATTTACTGCCAGACCTATGGAAGATAAATTATGATTATATTAAATGTAAAGAAAACTCATTACATTTATCATCTTTAGTAATAAGATGAAATCATCAATGTTAAAAAGTTTCAAGAAAAGGGCTCTCACTAGTCGTACAGTGGGTTAAAGCACAGCACTACGAGGCTGTCCACAGCTACTGCAGCACAAGCTCGATCCCTGGCCAGGTAGATGGCCCACATGGCACAGCAGAACTTTCCTGTCTTACCTACTCCCCTCAGAAATGTGCTGTTCTGCTCCCCAATGTTTATGGTGATCTCCTCATCCCCCCATACCTCTGACCTGTACCCTAGTTCTGTATGCATAAATACATAAATCTTTAAAAAAATTCAAGAAAACTATAACTCTAGTACTGTATCAACCCACAGTTTTCTTGCAGAAAAATTGATAGACTGTTAAAGGCTGAAATTTCCCTCTGGAATTAGAAGAAGACTGCATTTGCTCATGCTGTAAAGGAAGATCCCAGCCTGTGCAAAAAAAAAAGGAAATTGAAATAAAATTATTAATTTATAAGGAACTGATGTAATTTTAGTATACATATGTGATACATTTTCCCTCATACATAACTCAAACCATATACAAATAGACTACAAGAAATAATAGAACTTCAGCCAGGTCATTACATATGATATCAAAAATATTTTTTCTGTGAATCAGTAACAAACTACCTAATTTTATTTTAAGAAGATGCTTCTTAAAGTAGTGAGACAGTGCATTAGTAAAAATGATTATAGTACATTACTGTTGACTATAGATACAATATTATACTGCAGATTTCTAGAGCTTATTTAAATCTTGTTGAACCAAAACTTTATACCATCAATTAGCAACTAAAAAAAAAATATTTAGGGTAAATCTCATGCTGTTTTAACTATAATACAATAAAATAAAAATAATAAAATCATAAAATCTAACAAGGTATGTGTAAGACATATCTAGAAAAAAAAGTCATTGAAAGATATTGGAAGATAAGAATGAATGTATAGAAAGTCATACCTATTAAATAGAAGGGATACAGGGTTTTGATGAATTTATAATGTGATGGCTTCTATTTTCTCTGTGAAGTATGTTTAAGATGTCATTATTTTGTAGGAAAAAGGTATACTGAGAGATGATGTAGATAAATTAAAAGTGTAGTAAAAGCTTAGATTTTTTTATATTGTTGGCAAACAGGACTTCAAGTGACAAGGGCAGTTTTCCCCTGACAAATCAGGTCATATGATCACTCCAGATATTCTCGGGTGACAGGTGAGAAGAAAGAAATGGAATTATATTGAACTGAACAACAGAGTAAGAGGTGGGAGTTTGGGAAAGAGAGTGTTAAAGGTGATGAAACTTGGGATACTGACTGGGGAAGAAAGAGAATAAAACTAGGGAAGTTGGCCAACATGAATAAAGAGGAAGTTTCCTAGGATTCCAGATGAAGTCTAAGTCAGGGGATGGACGAGTTGTGGAGAGAGGAGGCTTTATTTTACAGTGTCAATGCTAAATATTTTTTAAAAACAATAAGTGATAGATAAGCTATGGTAATGAATAGCTGCTGTGACAGGTGAAAGTGGTTAGGTGATGTAAAGTGTGAGATGTTACCTATTTTTTGGTTGAACCAGGAGGGACATTGGCACATCTTCATTTTCAGAAATCTATAAGCATGATCTCAACAAAACCAAATAAATAGATGTGTTAAAATAAATGTATAGCTGGTTTATGACAAAATGCTATTCTTACTTTAAGAGCAGAGGAATTTTTATATTTCTGACCTAAGCATATATTTTTATGTGTCATACAAAAAGACATCAAGATAAAAGCCTCTACTATCCACTCAAAATGAAGAAATGAACATAATAAACATGATTTTTCCTTTTTAGCCCCTGCTTTAGCTTCAACTTACTTGCTACCAACCAGAGTTTAGAGCATGTTATAACTTTTCATATTCACATAGATTTATTTTAATTGAAGTTTATTTTAGGGCATTTCACATTCACCTTTACTTGTAAGAAATTATACAGAAAGATTCAAATGCACCATGAACTAAAAATCCTGTCAATTATTAATCTGTTTTTTTTAATTCTATTTAAAATGTGCCATTTAAAAATATTATTGAATAGAACCATACACATGAAACATTTTGGGATGTTTCTTACCCACTTGTCATAACTACCTTGTGATTCTTCATCCATATTATGCATGTATCAATTATGCTTTTGGTTAGCAAATCATTTATCAATAACCTTTTTTTTTAAATTATTTATGCTTACAGAACTGAGGTACAGGCCAGAGGTGTGGTGGGTGAACGAATTTATCAGAGACAGGAGAACAGAACAGGCAGATCTACGGAGATACACTGCTGAGGGGTGCAGCGGGTGGGTCAGGAGAGGCCTGCCATGCCATTGGATCAGCTCCTTGGTCAGGGATTGAACTCATGCTTCAGTGGCTTCTGAGAGCTTTACAATGCAGTGCTTTAAACTGTTGGCCGCCAAGGAGGGCCCCAATAACCTCTTTTATGACTGATTGATATTGCATGGTGCAATGTACCACTCTTTGTTAATCATGTAATCACTGAAGGACATCTAGCTATATGATATTTGATTTGCCTGACACATATTGACAATGATGATATTAATATGACACTATATTGGCTTGTACCCACAGCTCTCCCGGTGTTCACTCAGCTACCTCAGGATACAAGTATAGAGGTTGGAAAGAATATAAACATTTCATGTCATGCTCAAGGAGAGCCACAGCCCATAATTACTTGGAATAAGGTAAGATCTCAGTGAAAAATGTAGTAATACTAAAGACACTGACAGGTGTATTGACTCAATAAAACAGAGGTAATGGTTCTATTATTGATGTATTACTGTTGTGATTTTTTTTTTTAGCAAGTAATACCTTTCACACGAAAACAGGTTCACTGCCTACTTACCCTTTGTTAAGTGACTCTATCTGATTTTGTCTCAGGGCTTTGATAAAATTTAACCTTTCTCATTTGTCTGGTGATGGAAACTTCTTAACATTACAAAATTCCTCTAAGGAAAAATTGCTCATACTCTATGTAAATCAAGAGTTTTAGTAGCTAGCAAGAGACAATTTTGAAGTAATAATTCCAAAGTGGATTGAAATAGATCATTAACTGAAATAAGAGAGGGGTGAAGGCTTGGTATTAAGACAAAGTGATATGAAGAAAAGTGATTCTGTGGCTTAAAACTTAAATGAGTTTAACGAAATAGCAGCTCCTTATTTATATATCTTAATTTTGTTCTCTGAGCCATATCCTTTCATATTTGTACTGCTTCTTCTATTGTAAGTTTTTCATCAAAATGAAACAACTGATCTCAAATCCCTGTGCTCTTAAATTAAGCTGCATATACTTGAATTACTGTTTTTAAGGAAAATTTTTGACAAAATGTAAAATGAAGATGTTTAAAAAAGTATTTTTCTAGGGGTCTCAAATATGAAACTTTAAGTTCATGTTTTCTCTAGTAATCTGAATATTTTATATAATTTCTTTCAAATTTTCTAACATAATTCAAGTAATGTGTATGTAAAACAGGAAGGAAGACAATCTACATTTTGGTGAGCATCTAAAGCCTTACTTGACATTGTACTAAATATCTATAGTCACATCAACAAACTTTCTGAGTATAATTTCTAAAAGGTAACTTATGGTCATAAAAATATCGATTGAGATATGATTGACCATACACCAGTTATTGCCAGGTACTATCACATTCCATCTTTACAGCAATTATTTTCAATTTACAAATTTGAAAGTGTATAGCTTAGGGTACTTTTGCTACAATCAACAGAAACTGCCTAAATTAGGCAGATAAGGAATTTATTGAATCTATCTGCGAGTTCAGAGACATAGCAAATTTAATAAAATATAGGCTGACCTGAGAGTTTTGGCAATAATTATCTTTGAAAAGAAGATAAGGGCCCTCCCTGATGGTGCAAATAATTAAAGCTTAGACTATGAAGCTATCCAAAGGCACTGCAGCAGAGTTTGATTCCCAGTCAGGGAGGTGGCCCACATGGTGTAGATCGATCTCCTGACCCTTCCTACTCTCCTCAGCAGTGTATTTCAATGGCTCCACCTGTTACGCTCCCCCCACTGTCTCTGGTGAATGCTCTCACCACACCTGTACCTCTGGCCTGTACCCCAGTTCTGTATGCATAAATAAATAAATCTTTTTAAAAATCATACTAATTATAAGTAAATATAATGATATTTCATATAACATGTAGTTATTTTTATCTTCTTGAGGTAGAATTTTAATTGAGAAAAGCACTGATATATTAAAACTTTGCAGCTATATAATACATAAATACATATAAGAAAGAGATTCAAGTGAAATCAGAAACTTGAAAAGATCTTCATGTTAAGTGGTAGATTTATGATAATTTTCTCTTTTTTAAAATTTTACTTTTCCTGTTGTCAAAACTCTTATAGAAATTAAGTATATTCATCCATTGGAATGGTTTTAAAATAATCATATTGTGTATCATTGACTATTGAGTATCATGTTTATTTAGAGGAGATAGAAACAAAACTCCTCAACGCAAACCTCTTTCTCTTCCCTCTTACTCTCCTATAGAATCATATAATACCTCATCCAGTGTGTGACACATGATAAGCAGGTCACCGATATTTGCTAAACAATTAAAATCAATATCAAGCAAAATGTAAGATGATGACGATTCTTTTCCCTACCGAGGCCGGTGTTCAGATTACCGAGAGCGGCAAATTCCACGTTGACGGTGAAGGCACACTCACCATCTACGATGCAGGACACGCTGATCAGGGAGCTTATGAATGTGTGGCTCGGAATTCATTTGGCCCGGTGGTGGCCACCATGTTTCTCACAGTCAAAGGTAAGCATTTAGATATATCTTTGGGTGGTTTCTACTTAATCCAGATTCAGTGCGCTATCAAGGTTCTTCTGTGTATTCCATTTAGTAGAATGCATTGCTGGAGTTAATCACTACCATTATTTTTAATCCAGTATCTGAAGTGTAAACTTTGTTCATGGGTATCAAACACCTAATAACAATAATAATAACAACAACAACAACAACAACAACAACAAGGATTTGCAAGTATATATTATATATTTTAAGAAATGAATATTACATAAGATGTATTCATAACCAAATTTTAATGTCAGAGATTTAAGAATAAATTAAATTCAATATACACTAAATACACTGGTCCAGTGAGTTTTATCCTAGAAGTCAATCAAACTCTAGGCTAAGATTTACCATCATGGGAACAAATATTTGGAAGCTTTTATAATTGAACAACATAATTGGCATCTTCACAGCTTATCTGCGTTCATTATTGGAGCCCTTCATTATATGAGCATACGTGATGACTATTTAAATTGGTGTATCATTGCTTTAGAAAAAATAAAATCCTCTTTTTTATTTTATTGAGGTAACGTTGATTTATAACACTGCACATGATAAACTCCCCTTTTTCAATGAATCAGGTCAAAATGGATGTTAGAAATTCCATTTGTAGGTAGAATTGAATAAAGTGAGCTGAAACATTGACTTTGGTTACAAATTGAAGACAGGCTGGTAACGATTGACAGATGTGTTCTCTTGGGGAAAACTTTGCAGAAAAGCATAGCATGTCTGCACATGTGAGTTGACATCGAAGTAATTTTATTCAGCAGATGGATTTAAAAGTTCTTGTCTTATTGACTAAATTAGTTTAAGTAAAAGCATGTAGTGTGCTGTTTTGGGCTTTCACTCTCTCTCTCCCTTTGGTTACCTTGAAAATGCTAAAATAGGATTTTGCAAATTTATTTTTTTAATCTCATATGGAGTTCTTTTTTAAGCCTTTGCCTACTTTTGGTTACCTTAGAAAAAGGAGTCTCATAGGGGGTTTCTCAATTTTTCTTTTCCCTTTTATTTTTACCAGCTCTTATGAGTCTATAAAAAATTGAACAACTCTTCCAATTATAAAGATAGACCTAGTTAAAAATAAGATTATTTAATAAAATCTCATCATTAAAGATGTCATTAATTTCCTATCATGTAGAACAGTAATTTTGAATGGAAGTTTTGGAGCAGGCCTGAAATCTGAGGACTCTAGATGGACTCATTCTCAGTGCTTGTCTTCCTTGAGAAAAGAATTCGAAGTCCAGACCAAAGTTACACTAAAGCAAGAGATTTATTAACAGATAGTAAGGACAAGCGAGATGGCCCAAGTGTGTAGCTTTGAGAGACCAAGAAGTAGATATTTATATATGCACAACAGGCAAGGAGTGGGGGTTTGGTTGTTGAGCTCCATGTGTTGTATCTCTTGCTGATTGGCAGGGCCTGTGTGCTCTCCTAGACAGTGGAGTTTATGGGGTCTCCTAGGCTACCCAGGTCTATTGAGTTTGCCCATAGTACTTGGCCTACTTTCCCCAAAGTAGCTTGGCCTGATGCTCTAGCCTCTAGTTACTGTGTTTGTGCTCAGGACACTCCATTCTTCGCTGTTTTGTGGGTTGGAAGGGCACCCTCCTTGTGTAGGGCTCTTCTCTAATCAGACTGATAAATGGACCTGGAGCTTTGGGGGATGGAAGGGTGCTCTCCATTTTCTGAGAGAATCAATCAGGCTGACAAATAGATTTAAGGGGTTAGGGGATCTCTGTTCCTAACTGCCTATACCCACTTCATCACTTCCTCCTTCAGCTTTATCTTCTTTTCCCTACACAGTCCTCTGATACATAAAACATCTAAATACCTATTTGTTTAGATATTTTATATAATAATGTATACATTTTATTAATGGCACATCTATCTTCATTTTCTGTTACACTGCATAGTAAAATGTATTCTCCGTAAATATTATTCTGAAAATTATAACAGTTATGTAGTAAATAGCAAGTGTTTCTGTAGGTCAGAATTTCTTTGTCACATACAATCTCTTAGTTTTTGCTATTTTCTGAGTTTGTGTTTTTCCTTATTTAACATTCATAAGAGTTGTGTTTCTTTTTATAAATTTACACAGTTTTCTTTCTGTTCTTCAGTGATATATAAGACCTATAGTAATGTATCCTTGAGGCATTTTAGAAAAATATCATTATAATTTAAATTAGTATATTTTATGTTCCAGTAATGCTAGAACTCTTTACCACAAACAAACCTTTACTCATATATTTTATTTAGTTTTGCACACAAATATTGTTTATTTAGGAATTTTTTTTTAAGGATTTATTTATTTGTGCATTCAGAACTGGGGTACAGGTCAGAGGCTCAGGAGTGGTGAGAGGCTTCACCAGAGACAGAGTGGGGAGCAGAACAGGCAGATTGACGAAGTACACTGCTGAGGGGAGCAGCGGGCGGGTCAGGAGAGGTCTGCCACGCCATGTGGTCACCTCCAGGGCAGGCGGGAATCGAACTCATGCTGAAGTGGCTTTAGCTTCTTAGTGCTGTGCTTTAACCCGCTGCGCCACCAGGGAGGGCCTTGCACACAAATATTGTAATCATAGTGGCCAATATTTAAAACTTCCAACATTAAAATTTCATTGTTTGAAGTTTAAATAACCACTTATATATATACTTTAAAGTAAAACATTCAGATAAAATGTGTTAATTACTCTATTTATCAGATTTTAAAATAAAAGTGAGCCATGTATCTATTCTACTGGTTAGAGAAATAAGGCTAGAGGGGTAAAGCATTTTAAAGAAATTAATCATGAAGAATGACTTTGTTCTGAGGACACATATATTGGTGTAAGGGAAATTAATTTATATCTGTACCTCATACTAATTATAATTTATAATATTAAAATATGTCTTGTAAGGGGAAGAAATCATATAAGGATATAAACTTAAGTTTTGAATAAATTATAAATTTAAGACAATATTATATATTATCTGTGTGTGTACATGTATGCAATCTAAATGAGCAGAATAGGGAGAAGTGTTGATATAAAATATCACACAAAATTTTATCATTTAGACACTTTCATTCACCAGGTCATCTTAATTAAAGGGAAAGTCCACACATTTTCAGAGGATTTTTGAACTTTGATGTCCCCACTTGGCGATACTTCTACTCATTGTATAAGAAATGGAATGAAGTGGATCATGTCGTTTGCATTTCTATTCAACTTGTGAAATTAATACAAGAGATAATCCATAATTAAAAAAATATAAAAATCTAAGCGAAATCTGGGCATTATACATAAAATAAATCCAGTTTGGCTGATATTCAGTACATTGCATTTATAATAGCAAAAGGAAAAATTCTATAATTTGCAATGTTTAAGACAGTTCTCATAAACTTAATGAATTTTAATAAGTTTGCTTTAGTAGAGAATCCATCCTCTTCTTTAGGATGTCCTAGGGTATTTTATATTGGCAAATGTACACATAGTTCTTTATCTAGATAGTATTTAGCTTGTGAATGCCATACATTTTAATTCCAATTAAAATGTAATTAAATTTTAGCTTTTCTCTTATGCAGGCCTGCTAGATTCAGTCAGTTCTGAAGAAGAGAATTTGGAGGCTCCAATGGATTTTTCAGGTCTTTATTATTGAACAGAGGACCATCTATCAGGCAGGAAGAGAGACTGTGAGAGACACCAACACTGAGAGGCAGAAAACTGATTGCCTGTCTAGCTCCCTTTAAGTCCCCATGACAATACAACCCATACTTTATTAGAAATGCAAGGCCCATCTGTTTTTTTGCTATATGTCTGAATGGCAGAAAACACAGCATTTCATGGTATGAGATATCTATTGTATGGAAGGTGAAAAAAGCCTGATTTTAACTTATTTTCCTTACAACCTTATATTATATGGATGTGTGTGTATTTACATACATACCTGTATGTATTTTCTACATATACAGACATACTGTTAAGTACTGTGATATGTAAGACTTATTTATTGTTTGTTAAAAATAGGTCAGTATTAAGACACAAGGTATATTTATTAAAGATTAGAACTATAAGATAGTGGGAAAGAAACTTGGATTATATTATCAGACTTAGCCATTCTGAACAACTTATTTATTCATAACTATAAATATAGTTAATTTTCAGAAAAGTGGAATTACACACATTTAAGTCATTCCTGTCACAGAGTTTCTATATTCTATGATAGAATTCAAATGTGCAATGATAGACAGTAGCTTATAGCATGTCTATGCAATAGATCTTATCATTGAGACATTTCAGTAATGTTTTGACAAGGCTAAAATTGAATGATAATAGAATTTATCGAATGAAAATTATAAAGTGCAATTAATATTTCCAAACTATTTTAATTATGTAAGAATAAATATAAACAATGTCATATTTTCTAAAATTCTTTGTTGGTATCTAATTGCTGGATATTTCATTTGTTTCACTTACAGTATACATAATTCCAAAAGTTAAAAACTGATCTGGATGTCATGAGTTTACCATTTTTGATTGCTGAATACTATTCCATCACACATGTGTGTACACATATATATGTACACATACATACATACATACATACATACATACATACATACATACATACATACATACATACATACATACACCACATCTATGCACACACACACACACACACATACCACATGATCCAGTCATCTGTTTTAGGAAGAACACAAAGGACTATGGTGATGGTTCATGGATGACTTGGTGATTAATGTCTATTTGTATACTGAGTGTCAGTGTCAGTAATAGTCAAGCTCATTCTTCTAGAGGGAGGATTCATTTTTTTTTAAATTTACAATTTACTTATTTATGTATGCAGAACTGGGGTACAGGCCAGAGGTGCAAGGGTGGTGAGAAGATTCACCAGCAACAGAGTGGGGAGCAGAACAGGCAGATTGATGAAGTACACTGCTGAGGAGAGCAGCAAGGCAAACAGGAGAGGGC